GCGTTAGCAGCAGCAGCGTTAGCGTTAGCAGCAGCAGCAGCACCACTCGCTGTCGAGCCGCGGGACTCCAGGCTCGCGCTCCCCCAGCTGCTGACGTCAGCTGGCAGCCTGGGCTGAGCTCGCCGCTCCGGACATAGCGCCGAGAAAAATGCTGCTCTCCGTACCGCCAAGGGCAGGAATCAACCCATACAACGGCTATAACAGCAGAAACAGCAAAAAGGTAAAGGCTTTCTGGCTTCACCCCCCCCCCCCCCCCATTTCCCGCCCCCTTTTCTCTCGGAAGGGCAACGAGCCCGCGTCTGTCGCGAAATGAGAAAAAAAAAAAGAGAGGAAAAAAAAAAGGCTTGTGACAGTGAGCTGCAGTGTCCTTGAAAAGCTAAATGGACTGAATTTAACTTGAGACTTCGTGGGTTAGATATTCCGCTCAAAGAGCTGCCCCGCTCCGTGCCGTGTCAAGGTGGGATTTCTCTTTTTTTTTTTCTTTCTCTCTCTTTTTTTTTTTTTTTTTAACCGCTCGGTCCTGTCACGCCGGACTCCCTTACGGGTGTTTTATGTTGTAGTATTTATTCGTGTGGGCGCCACAGCGAGGATGTCGATACGGCTTTGCTCACTCATTTGAAAAAAAAGTCAATGGTGGAGAGAGCAACTTTTATGGGGGAACTGTGCCGTGCCGGGATAGCGCGTCCGTGGCTGGATGTGTTTGTGGAAGTGGGGGTAGGGAGAGGGAGAGGGGCCGGCCGGAGGAACACGTTACAAAACCCCGTCTGCCTCTTCCTCCGCAGACAGCCCCGCTCCGGCTCCTAAATCTACTCTTTTTTATATTGACTTTTTATTGTAAGTTCGCAAAGTTTTTTTGTTTGTTTGTTTTTGTTTTTTTCCCCCCCGTCTCCTTCGTTTCACATCTGAAAGCGGAATATGCCCCACCCCTCGAAAATCCCAGCGGACCGTGATGACTCCATTCCCAGAATTATGAATCGCGCTTTCGTGGTGGCGTTCCCCGCTAACGGTGGCACTTTTTCTGCCTCCGGACGTGCAGGGCACCGCTGTTCCTAACACCTCCCCCCCAAAAAAGCTAATGCCCAAGTACAAAGTGTCTTTTCCCCGTGTCCGATAAACTGATGGCGAAACTGATTTTTCTGTCCCTTTTCTGGGCTCCTTAGAGAAAACATTTGTCTCCCAGATTGAGTTTTCCTGAGTCGTGTGTTCCTGTTTGGCCATGCATACCAAGCGCGTCCTCTCTTTGGAGCCTAATTCAATTACACAAGTTAAATTGTGATTTAAGCCTCCATTCGCCTTCTGCCCGGTCTGCTCTTTACCGACCGTGTTCCCGTGAACTGTGAAAGGCACTTTGAAAATGTATATTGACATATTGTCTTTCTGGGATGTGGGCACCGCCTGGCTGCTCAGCCTCTAGGATCTGATGTCAACATTTGGGATTCTCAGAGTCAGACAGCATCGTTTACGACAGGGTTTGTTGGTGTGCACGCAGATTTCCTTTTTCTTTTTAAATACAGGCACTATTTGCAGCTCTTCACTGGAGCTGTTGTTCAGCTGTGAGTTGGAGGTCTGAACAATCCAGGAACAGCGTCCTTAGGTTCCTACTGCTCTAATAAAACGGTTAAATGATACAGTTTACAAGGGAGCACAATATGCCTGAGCAATTAAGGGTGTGGATGTGGGACCTTGCAGTTTCGTGAATTTAATTTGGTCATTCTGGTACATTTATTGTACGTATGATGTCATGTGTTCATTGAGGCAAGTTTCTGTGCTGAACCTTCCCAGAGAGCATTTGCTTATTTCATTCATTAGTTATCCAAAACAACCTTAAGGGCTTGAAGCTCTGTAGGGCTCTTTTTTTTTTACTTGAATAAAAAAAAAAAGATCACACCTTTTTTCTGAACTTTTGCTGCATGTTTGGACAGTCGTTTTAATGTGGTTTTCCTTTGCAGATGCAGGTTTGAGAAGCGATGGGGCATTGTCAGGTTTAGGCAACGAATGCGTGTTGGACGGGTTGGGGAAAGAAAACATGGCTTTGGAGAGATTTGAGAAACAGTTCTGCTGACCATCTTTGATTATTAGTATTACTGTATTTCGATGTTTAAGTAATGCCTCTGGATACCAACGATCCCTAAGGCCAATCTTTCCATCAGAGCTTAGCAGTGCGCTGCATATCTAGTTTTCTTTCTCAGTGTCAATTCATTTCAGAGTTGTAGTTTGACTGATGTCTGATCCTTTTCATCTTTGTGGGCCCTTTAATGCCAGACACTTAATCAGATGTGGGTTATAAAAAACAATAACTTGGTTTTTAGTTTTTTAACCTATTTACTACTTTACATTTAAATGAGCACAAATTCATTCATTTGTAACAAATACACTAAAAGCGTTATTATAGCATTTACTGAATAGATTATGTAACAAAAAAGTGATTTATGAGACTGTTTAAACCACAGTGAATGTCACCGTAGCTGTTGCTCAACCCTTTCTCTATATTTTTCCAGTAAATATTAGTTAATGCTAATAATTCTAATGATAACTTTATAACTAATGATAATTGGTTACTAATAAATCATTCATAATAATTGATTTAATATGTGAATCTTGTCAGTTGATAACTTTTCATTGACATGCTCTCGTTTGGATGTTGGATGTCAGTGAACTGATACTGATGTTACGCTGACATATCTGCCTTGTTTGCATGTGATGAGATATAAATGTTCGATGGGGGAAGTGACTTTTGTCTTTGTATCCTAGAGGAATAATTAGATTATACGGGTATCGAATTACTAGTACAAAAGGAGGTTAAATTGGAGGAGAAAGTTTTCCTCAGCAGTCGCTTTTGGGGTCCTGAATTCTGCAGAGCTTTAGTTCACAGAGAGGTCAAGTTCAGCAATTTATCCTCCCACCTCTACGTCCCACTCATTCTCTCTCCCCCATTCATTCCATACCTGAGCTACACAAGCACACAAAGTCGGAGTCTGAATGCAAAGCAAACCTATTGAGGAGTGAGAAAAGCTTTCTTTGTGTGAGAGAGGTGATTACCACCACTGAGAAGGCGTTAAGTTTCTGTTGTGCTTAAAGCCAGCTGCTCCTCGCCCGACTCAGCACCTCATTTCCTCCCTCAAATAAATAGAATTAATGTGCTTAAATCAAATTTAGATGGTTTCCGTGTAAAGGCTTCCTGAATGGAAAAATAACAGGGGCAGGTTTGTCGCTTCTTAAGGTATCGGGGCCTCATCGAATGGGGTGTTTGGGTACTTTCGAGATTTTTGTTCTCTTCCTCCAGAAAGTCCCTCTTAGCAAATGTCAACTTACTGCTGCGAGTTAAAGCTCTTCAAACCTCCACATAGACTCCACTGAGCTAGAGAAAGACAAACCGTATAAACAGTCTGAGTTGAGGAATGAATTGTGGCATGAAAATAAGGTTGGCCTTCACAATCCCATCTCCAACACTTAAGATCGGAAGATTAGACCCATTACGTTTGAACTCAGCCAGCTTATGGACGTCACCATGTCCTTACTCATGTCATGACTCCTCTAATTAATTGCTTTTATTATCATAAACTTACTTTGGAAACCTGTTTAATGAGCTTTAGTAAGAAATGTTTTTGCATTAATGTTTTTGGAATTAAGTCAAATGGAATCTCTACTGCCTTTAGAAGGTGATAGCGGGGGTGCCATGCGGCTGGGCTGGTGCAGCCGGCACCCTAGGCTGTGGGCTAGGCCCAGCCCTGGGACCATGACAGCATATCCCCCCTCCATCTCCTCTATCTGCCTTTTCAGTCCACCTGCTGTTGGCAACCCAGAAACCCTTACAAAATGGAATTGTTGAGAATTCCATGAAATTGCAAGCATTGATCATGCTCTCTTCAGCTGAATTTCATGATGAATTCATTACTGACCGACCCACAGGATATCAGCCACATTTTCCTCTCAAACCGAAATGAAATGTGTAGAACTGTCGGCAGTAGAAAGGCCACCGGGACCGTTCAGTGAAAATGGAAACGTCTGAGAGTAACATGTCCACGCCTGACGTCCTACGGCTGAGCCGGCTCACATATTCCGGCCTTTAAGAATTGTAGACAAACATTTCCTTAACACTGATTCAGAGAGCCAGGTTATGAAGGTCTGTGGATATTTGGGAGGATCTGAAAATCTGTCCCTTTTAGAAGGTATGGAACCTTTAAACTCTCATTTATCCCTGTTCTTATAATAAGACTGCTATCAACACTGAATCTAATGATCCTGTTGCGTGTTGAGAACAAAATGCAGGGAGTGGAGTCGCAGCCCATACATTTATCTATTGGTTGACTCCTGCAGCGCTCACTAATCCTGTTTCCACCAGGAGCTGCCTTCAACAAACAAGCCTGACAAACCCACTGTGGAAAGCGTTCCCAATCCATAAAAACAGGAAATATGACGATATACATTCAGCTTTTGGATTAAGGGCGCTATAAAAACAGTAATGAGGTTGTTTCTACCATTTCCACTGAAATTCCACCAGTCTTTGGAATAACTTGAGTGCTAATCACACAGCACACTTAGTGTGTGCCAGGACACACTCGGGCACCGGACACCAGGCAGCACAGGGTGTCAGCCGCCTCATTGATCGTCACTAAGTGCGCATTAGGAGCCAGTGTTGAGTTAGCCTAAACTAATTTTAGTCTTTATGAGCCCTATTTCTACTGTACTGGTTGGGGGACGGGCTAAGACTTCAGCCCCACATTAGTCACAATCTTAAAGACTTTCGTCTTGAATTTCACTTGCCTTTTGATCCGCTCCGATAACTGAGATAAGTGCGGGGAATTTCTTTCCTGAAGTTTAAAGGCTTTGGGAGCCCCTTTGCCGTACTGCCGCTTATCAAATGAGAACGATTTTTCAACCTTTTTTTTCTCAACTCATCCAAATGAACCATGGCCACTTTTTTCTTCTTAATCTCTTCTTTTTGGACCACTGTGTTGGTGCTGGTGACATCCAAAAGAAATTCCCACATTTTCCGTCCCAATTTATGACTCTCCACCTTAGAAATTTCCTACAAATAGAGGGAGGATGCCCAGAGGAACCTGTGTTTTGAGACACAGTCAGTCTCTGATATACTGAGGGGCAAAGTTCGGCTATTTAGGTGTTAGGGTGGAAATATTGCAGCTATTTTATCGTGTCATGGTGACTTATGAGGATTCATCTCATGGGTCTGAACCCTGTGCTTTTGAGGGTGAAATAAGGCCCTGATGCATAGATGCATATCCATTTTACCACGTTAAAGATAATATTCGGATATGAAAAGCATGTAAAGGGGTGTTTGTTGCAGCTTGGTCGGGAACAGATAGCGTGCACATGTTTGTTGGCCGGGCTGCTTTTGAACTGTGTATAAAACCAGCTGTTCCACTGCACTGATTCTATCCTCACTGAACTCTGCTGTTCAGCCACCTTTGTCCCTCTGGCCCTGCGCCAGGCATATGTTTATCTGCCTCTTTGTTTACTGTGTCAGATGTTTCGGGCCTGGCTCGGATTCGAGTGCCAGTTGCATCAAGCAGCCAAGGTGAGCAGGTAGGAAGGGAGACGGAGTCCTTGGAGAAAGCACAGCTGTCAGAAATCTGATGCCAGGCCCTGCAGTGGATGCCAGACACTCGCTGTGTCTCACATTTAGTTAGATCCCCGGCTGAGCTGCGGCCCAGTGTTTTCAAATATCTGGTTCCAAGCTCTCCCGCCCTTGCCATCCGACCCAACTTGAAAGCCGTGTGTGCGTGCGCATGTGTGGCGTGCGCGTGCGCCTAGGTGTCATCAACATCAAAGCCCGTCTCAGAGAGGCGCAGCTCGCCATCCATTAGCCTGGGACCACATGTGTCACCGTAATGTCCGCATTAGCAAGACGCTTCTTTTCTGTTGCATTTTATTTGTGTTACAGACCCTTCAAGGAAACGCTGAATCGTATATGTTTGTAGAACAGACTACATCATGCTACGTTTTGCACAAATCCCAGACGTGGCTCCTCCCACACAACGCCGTTTCTACACGCGGTGTTGCATCCGGGATGGTGCTCTTCAGACTGCCGCTTTCACCTTTTGAGTGAGGGAAAAAAAAGGCTGGTCATGGGTGTTGAGTTGAGCTCGAAGCTTTTGCTGTCTGTTCGGCCATATCCTTTATTTTAGTGTGGCCATTTTGTTTATTTTAAGACATTTCATGAGAAAACTCTTTGTTGGATAAGGAGACGTGAAAGGTTGTTGCCTCATCTCGCACACAAACCAATGATGATATCCAGGGACGTAAAGAAATGATGAGGGCTTGAATCATTTGATTTGCACTTTGGTCTCGTGAATAGATGGATGGATGGGACATGTGATCTCTATCGGTTCCACAGGCATCAGTGAAAACAGGAGACATCGTTACATTACATGACTGAATGCCATTGCTTTTACAGCTATATACAGGCATGAATCCATTTCTCCAGTCTGAAAAGGGCTTAAGAAACAGACAATTTCAGGGTTAATCTGTGCCAATAAAGACACAAAGGGAAGGGAAGGGGAGGGTTACAGACAGAGGAGAAGGAGGACTGAGGGACGAGTTGGGACCTGAGTTTTGTGTCCCTGTCACCTGCTTGGAATGCTGAGCCTCTCATACAAATGGGTGCGTGATAAGATCAGGAACAGACAGAGGATTTCCTGCCTGTTGCCCGCAGTGCAGCTCACCTCTTCACTAGACAGACGTCCTGACCCAACCCTGAGCTAACATCGGATATTGTCTGAAAGTTTTATGGTAATTGGCAGGCAGCTTTACAGTCTGAATAGTAAAAGTTGCTCCTTTGCATGAGAATCCGGATAGGTGCAGCAACATATTCTTAATAAGTATCGTACATCAGGCTTCTGGTTTTCCTCAGTGCAGCAAAGGTAGTCATTTGTGACTGTGCAAATAAACAGTGTCATTACAGTGTTTGTTTGTGGACTTCCTATCTTAAGTAAAGGATGCCCACAGCTTTTTTTTTTTTTGTCCTAAAGAGAATTAGATGCAATGCAACAGCCACAGCAGTGTAACTCTACACAGGCTGCGCCTTCATTCAGGAGCTCCATAAATCTGCACTGTAAGTCGCTTAGCTGGTCAGACAGTTATGGCTCTTTCCTGCCTGAGGAAAGGGGCTTCAGTGAGAGCATGACAGGGGAGGCAGGCAGACCTCCCAACAGCCAGGAAATCCGTGGAATCCCATGGGTCAAATTAAGGTCAACTGGAGAGGTCCTGCAGGCAGAGGCTGGGATAAAAACAGGTGGCGAGACATTTAGAGGCGGGTTGAAGGGAGCTGGCTTCACCCAGGACACGGCCCAATCATCAGACATGTCCTGTAACTGAACAATGCATCCAGTTCGGACAGTAGTCCATGAAGAACTTAAAAGAATTATTTATTTGTAGAGATGTTCCTGATTGTTCTGTCCACAGAATCCTAAAAATATTTATACTGACCTCGATAAGAAGACAAACAAACGCATTTTACAGACACGGCTGTGCTGTGATGGAGTTATTTTCAGATCTGAGAATCGCTGACAAACTGGTTGAAATATCACGTTGAATGGTAAAATGCAACGTCATCCACCTTCTGTTTTCGGATACGGATGCTGTCAGTTTCATTTCTGCTTTTAAGCTGTGGCTATAATTAGCTCTTGAGAGTTTCTAAGGCCATCCAAATGTAATATGCTCAAATAGTTTCCTACACTGACTTTATTCGGCTCTTTTGGAGATTTCTAGCGCCTATTCACTTTAAGTGTGGATGTGTGTGTTGTTACAATGATATGCTCCTGGTTGTGTCTGGAGGACGACTGGAGCTTGGCACTCCGCTAAAGGCTGTATAAATGAGATTATAGGTCTCTGCTTTCCTCTTCTTTCATTCACAAATTAGCCGTCTCTAAAACGTATTCATCGCGAATTACACTGGGAGAAGTTGGAGACACTCCGGCAGGAAGACTGGAGGATACGTGTTTCCCCCCCACGGAAAAGGAACAAAAAAAGAAAAAAAGAAGAGGCTTTCCGATCAGGATTAGAGATACGTCGCTCACTTGTAGAGCTGAAACCCCACACAGAAGTGCACAATAGATTCATCATAACTCCGATATATACGTGTGAGCAGAGAATCATATGACTAAGAATCTGTATACATCACACCTCATGTTGTCTTTGCTACGGTGGTATTTTTTTCAACTACCAGCCAAGCAGTGTGTGCGGTCCAAAGTGAGTGCTTTTTTTATTGTTAACATGCCTGAATTTGAAAATGTCCCATATAAAAGGAACAAACACACACTCCTCCCTTTCTGTTTACTCTGAGAAAACCCAACGTACCCAATCATGAAAGTGCAAGCTGAGGTTAAGGGTCAGAGGAATGAGTTGCTTTTGCCAAAGTTGCTGCCATGCAGACGTCAGAGGGGCTGCCTCAGTCAGGCTCCCAGCCTTATGAATGGAGGCTAATAAGCGGAATGGGTTGGTGTTGTAGGTGGTCCTTCTTTTTTTTTTGCTTCCTGCTGGGCTTCTACTAAACACTACCAGTATGATCACTGACCCCTGCCTCTCTCATTAAATTAACCCATTGTACTCCTGCCAGCTCAGACCAATTGTTTATTCATGTAACCCTCCAGCCTTTCTGGAGTTACACTAATGTTTGGCTTGATTAATGAAATCTAGATTAATACGATGAAGATGATTTTCTCCTGACACAACGTGTGCCAGTTCCAGTGAGCCAGGTCACCTCTGAAGGCTGCTTTGGGGGGAAAGCAGCCTTTTGATCTGTTCCTGGAGAAAGACAGAGAGAGAGAGAGGTCTTCCTATTATCTGAAGCCTCGACAGGCAAAGGGATAATGAAACCATGTTTATTTATCCAATAAGAAAGAAAAAACAGAAAGACCGAAAGAAATGTGTGTGCATGGTTACACAACCTTGAGTTTGACATCTCCCAGGACAGCCACAGTTCCATTGAGAGATGAGATTAGATGAGGACCGGGTTGTTGTGCAACATCCTCTGTGGTTCATAGTAGTGAGTCATGGACTAGTTGACGGCTGTAGTTTACAACCACCTCTCAGTTTGTCGTCACCGGCAGATGGAACAGAGCAACTGACAGGAAAAGATGAGGTGGAAACGATGGTTGGAGCATGAGAATGTTGGTGTTGTCGAACTGTAACAGCTCATGGTACTCTTTTTCTTTCTTTGAATAGAACTCTCCGTCAGATTTCTTGTTAAAGAAAAAAGGCTGTGCATGTGTTGTGGATTGTTTGGGCCTCTTTCCACTCAGGATAGGCTGACTGATGGTCTTGAACGCTTTTGGAGATTAAACTGGTCAAACTTGTGCATTGATTTTGAGGCTTAAGGAAGCATAGAAGACAGAGAAATGAAAGCTGGAGCCCACATTGATGATTTTTCGCTTTGAGAGAGGTGCTTCTTAGTAGAAGTAAACAGTGGGCTTCAGAGGATAGCCAGCGGTCAGCACGCAGCCTGTCATTTGAATCTGCATCATGAACCTAAATCAGTGTTGGCCTGAGATCTTTAATTCGAAGCTTTTGTGCCCATTTCGTGATTCCAAAAGTAAGAATGAAGTTTCCCAACACTGAGAGAGAGCACAAGAGGCCCCTTTTCCTGATGTGGAGCAGTCAGCCAAGAGGCCCCACATTCCCCCAGAAAGCTTTAGCGAGTGTTGACATGGGGGTTGTATGATATCAATTTTCACGGCTCTCTCATAATCAGCTGTTTGATGCCAGATTACTTTCCATCTCTCCATGTTTCTAATGCTCCTCTGAGTTTTACACACGTGAAATAAAAACATCAAAGTCCCGAAGCTGAAGTAAATTGGCGGGTAGTTCTGTTTTTGTTTTCTCTTCATGCTCAGTAAAGCCATTTCTGCTGTGTGTTTTTCTTTTCTTCCCCCAATCCAGCAGACCTATGTGTCCTCCAGCCATCAGATGGCACCCCCCAGTCCCAACACCAACAGCAGCAGCAACAGCAGCGGCGGCGAGCAGCTGAGCAAAACCAACCTGTATATCCGCGGCCTCCACCCAGGAACCACAGATCAAGATCTGGTCAAACTGTGCCAACCGTTAGTATTCATTTATTTATTCTAAGTTTTTGCTTTGATCAACATCTCTACTGCAGGTTTTCTTGTTGCTGAAGTATAACAAAACATCTTGGTTTTTAGAATGTCTTTTGACAAACACACTTGGATAAATGGGGGGGGTGTGGCGGGCGCTGTGCTCGCCCTTTCGGGTTGTAAACCAAAAAAGGAACAGACGCTGTCCTGACTGATGTGAGGCATTTGTTACAAACTCACAGGCATGCCATAGACTATGACAGTCTACATACTATTTAAATTTTAAGATTACATTTAATTATAAAACGTAGAATCTTCTCCTCATATAAGTTGATGTTATTGATCAAGCAGTTGGTCCAAATCTTTAAGGTCCTCAAAGGGGCTGTAATACTAAACAAATATAATTAGAAAATGTCTTTATGTTAGAGCTGGTAATTGTAACTTGTCTTAACCCATAATAGTTTCCGGCTTTGTAATCACTATTTATTTTTTCTCACATTTCTTACAAACATGGGATGAAAAACAGGTAATAATTGATTTATTTGCATTTACCAGCTTTGAAAAAATGCATTTTTTCAAATTGCATTAGATGCCAAAAAAGTACTTAGGTTTTGCATCTCCGTGAAAGGGAGTTTCAGCTTGCTTTGATACACACTCATGCAGTCTTATGAGGGCATGTGGAATTTCCATCAAGCATTAACAAACAACAGGCAAGAACAGGTACAATTCCCCTTAAGACCTCTGCACACTCTGACTTACTTTTAAAAACCAAAGGAGTCAAACTCTGCTGGACCCTGATATGAATGGTTGTTTGTCCATTAGCTCTTCTTATCAGCCTCCTCTTACTGTATTCACAGTCTGAAACAGTGATTATAAGTTTTGACGCACCACTGGAGTTTTCCAGAAGTTTACTTTCCTTCTTATGACATGTTCATGGGAAGAGAGGAAAAACCAGGCCTGGTGCTGTTTAAACCAAATGGAGTTACAAACAAATCTGTTTTTTTTCTTCTTCTTTTTTTTTTATGTCAGACCTCAAGACATACTGAAAAAAAATATATATATACATATAATGCTGCAACTTGCTGCGACTGTAGAAAACAACAGCTTGGCCCCCGAATTAGGAAATACCGACATCGCACTTTCTTTTTTGTATTTTTTTCATCTTCCTTTTTGAACATGTTCAGAGAGGACTGTGTATTAGATGGCATGTTTATGCTGGACTCAGCTCACCGAATCGCCCTCTGCAGCACTGACGCCGTATTGAACGCTGTGCTTCATGCAGATCTGTGCTCTTCTATAAAACGCTTACTCTTAAATGGAAATAGTTGTATGAAAATGGCTTCCTTTTTTTAATGGCTTTGATGAGAAAAGTGGCTGTATCGGTTTTCCCAGATGTCTCCAACTCTCAGCTTCACATGAGGGCTGCACAGTGTGCTCAGAGCTGTTTACATCAAATGCTGGACTCCCTGTATTTGTTTAGCTCTTCCTGATTCAAAAGATTATGGTCTGATTGTAGCTGATTGTTCATTCTACAGCACATTAACTGGGAAAAAGTTGACTTTGATGCTAAATGACTGAAAGAGTCACGCGGAAATTCACAGTGGGCAGAAAACATTTGGCTGTCCAGAGCTTTGCTGCTCATCTGTTGGACACATGAAATTGAATTATTTGAGGCCATTTCCAGTCGCTTTGAAGCAAAGTCCCTGCACTGTTCATAAAGTAGAGGACACGAAAAACATGGAATTGCCCACAAAATGGTGGAGAGTTAGAGCTACGCAGAGTGGAACAGTATCATACTCGGATGTTCAAGGGGAAGATTTAAAAAGTAAAAGAGGGCAGTAGGTGTCACAGAACCCCTGTGGCCTCTGTCCCCCTGTTGTTCTGATGACATCTTTCACTGAGTTGAATTGGCTGAGAGGTGGTGGAAAGACCCCTAGAAGGAGCTGTGCTGCCTATATCTTTGGCCTTAAGGGCACAGACACACATGTAGATAGAGCCAGTTATAAAGCACCCAAACTGGTTCTGTCGGCTGCAGGTCAGGACTGCACTGTACGTCATAGAGTTGATTCGTGAACTTTAGTCATGGTTCATTCCCAGCAACAGCACAACTCAGGGAAAAAGCAAGGCCACTTTGAATACCCGCTGGCTCCATAAGGCTCCGGACCCTCCCCTCCTTCCTTTAGATGTTTCAGTCTCCACTGTAACCGTTCCAGACCATATTTAGAGGGGTACTGTAAATGCTGAGTGACTTTTCAAAGCTGAAATTAAGGATGGTCCAAAATCCGCCGTTGGTTTGTGAAACAGGAGCTTGAGTGTAAAAGCAGGAGATTTACAGAGAGGTCACTGTGGAGTGGAGCCGGAGTGGAGGGAGGACTAAGGCTTTGGAAATGAGACGAAGGGGCTACTGTTCAGGTGGAAACTTAAATGATTGGGGGGAAAAAAGTGGCTCCTGGGAAGAATGCCAAATGACCATATATGGGGTTAGGGGTGTCTTTCTAGTCTCTGGCCTCAGTAGGGTGGTGCTCTGCTGCACAGAGAGCACAGGTTCACCCACGCACTTAGAGTTGACCTTTACACTCCATCGGTACCTTTGCTTGGAAATACGTGTCACACAGCCTTTGATTTAGGTCCCTATGCTTCCAAAAAAAAGACGAGACAGATCAATAGAGCTTACATGTTATTCACCCTGCAGGCATCGGCGTGAACAGTATACATGTTTAAGCTACATCTCAATAGCTGAAAATATAAGGACTCCGTTTTTCTCCGACGTAAATTAAGAGCAAAACCGTTGATTTAGGCATACTAAATATATATGTGTATGTATGCCTAAATCATTATGTGCAAAACAAAATCAACTTTGGAACTAACTTTATCCAGTTATCCTAGATCACTATGCACACTATGCATGTCTCTGGTCTCTGCGGTGATTTCAGTTTGCAGAGGTCGGTGTTCCATTTTCTGAGCAACGCACTGAAAGATCTTTTGTTTATTTGTGAGCCAGAAAGCCCCAATTTATCCCCTTGGTTGAAAACAACTTTTTTCTAAAAGTTTTTTCGTTCCAAATCTTTAAACTCATTCTGTTCCTTCAAAGACTTTGAAATCGTGTCACATTTTAGCTGAAAGAATATTTGTGAAGGAAAAAAAAGGAAATGGTTGCTCATGTACTCTGTGTATGTTTATGTCTGACAACAGTTGCTCAGCTGTTAATGTACTGTGAGAAACTATAAACACAACCAGGGCAGAGTTCATCTGACTATCTGGAAATGAAGCCTACACGCTGTAGGCCTCTGCGCTACATGACCAGTTCGGTTCAGGGTTGACAAAAAGATGCTTGGCCGGGATGTGGAAGCCCGCTTGAGCGAGGAGGACAAGAGAGTGTCTCAAGACTCTGACTCTGAAGTGGGGCGTCTTTTGGGACAGGTCTCCGTTTCAGGCGTCTGGTCAGGTCTGAGTCATTCTGCTTAAATGTCCTCTGTCCACTAATGAGGGGGGTGCGTAGGACCCAGCGGTGAGCTGCAATGTGAGGGGGGAAAAACAGAGCGAGGGAGAGGGATGTGGTGGGAAGGAAGGCAAACTGGAGGGGCGAAGCATCAGGTTACAGTGTACATTCCGCCCAGACGCCATGTCGACCAAACAGGAACACCAGCCTCCCTTACTGGCTGAAATCACCAGACAAGGGCAGGTCTAGTATTCAATCCTACTGAAGCACCGTCTTTAAAAGACTGCATTCCATTGGTCTACACATCTTACACAACAGCTTCTCTGTATTTCTTTTAAGGTGATTTTAAATTCTGAATATTGATGAGTCTGAAATAATCCAGAAATCTGTTCTACTCTTCTTTAGATTGCCCTTTTGTCTTGTGTTTGTCTTGACAGCCGCAGTCTGAAATTAGCTGTAGGTTATGTTTGACACACCTTATTCCGTCTTTTTCTTCTCGATGGATCAAACATGGAGTCCGTTCCCTTGAAAGATGCTGTTTCGACACTTTGAAGCTTCATTTAGGCTAAAAATACAAGAGAGCAGAGCTGTATTTAGACGAGGGGGATGTGTGTGTTTTCCTGTGTGTGCCTGAAAAACACAGGCTTGGAACAAATAGTTTAGGGCCCTGAGGTGCTGTCTCCTGTCTGTCAGGAGCAACATGGAGAAACAGATTAACTGTGCAGCCTCCGCAGACAGAAGGGTGGGGGCAGGCGAGGTTTCTGTGGCACTTTAAATCATGTTAAAGAGCCTAAATGGCTAACAAGAAGGAAGTATTTGTACATGTTAACACCTGTAGTCTGGCATCCTGAGGAAAGCATGCATGTGGTCGGAGCAGATTCCTCTCTTCGGCCCACAGTCACCTGTGCTGTTATTGATCCTGATCCGTTTTCATGTGTCCCTAAAGGTATGGCAAAATCGTGTCAACCAAGGCCATCCTGGATAAAACCACCAACAAATGCAAAGGTGAATAAAGATTTTGTTTAAATAACTTTGAAAGAAAAAAAACAGTTTGCTTAAATGTTCAACTTTTCAAGTTTCCATGGCTGGATTTAGGTGAATTGTAAATAGCTTGTTATACCAGCTAAGCAGTCTCATGGCTTTCCCTTCACTTTTACCACAAACATGTTGGTGTTCTCATGTACTGGCATCATGGCACCTGACACAAATTTTTCTGTGGTACAGGATATGGCTTTGTGGACTTCGACAGTCCAGCGGCAGCACAAAAAGCTGTCACAGCGCTGAAATCTACTGGGGTCCAGGCTCAAATGGCTAAGGTAAGAAGTCAACTCTGTAGCACTCCCATCTACTTCCAGGTCCAAACATTCTAATTAAAATGAGACAGCCCGTTTCACATGTTTCTCGTACTGACATGCGACCCCTTTCTAATCCCAGTCACAATGATCCACTCCACTAACTAAAAGGTAAACTCTTACCTTGCTGGCAAGCGTACACATTGAGCACTGTAAGAGAACACTGTCATAAGTCATCCTCATAATGAGCAGTACTGTTGTTATTTGGAGCTGTTTATCTCCTCTGTCCGCCCTTGCTGTCAGTCTCATTCTGCGCCCTGCAGCTTCCCTGCCCTCCTCACGGCCTTTTCCCTTTTTTTCCTCACACCCCGTGTGTTTCTAACCTGCTCTGGTTGTAGCGCTTGTTCTGAGCTCTTTGTCAGAGTGTCTGCAGTCAAAGCAGCTCTTGTCGCCCCATTAAGCTGATCCCTCTGGCTCTCAGGCCCCCTTTGAGGGAACACAGGGGAGGGTGCCACTACACTCACTGTCAATGCGACATGCACAAAGAAGTGGCATTGTCCATCGTCTGGGCCCAGGCCTGGAGCTGACGCTACCACTTAATACTCCACACCAGCGCGTCCCTGCCCCCCCTCCCCCGCCCCCCTCCCTGTCCTGCACCCAAACAGACTAATTGCAATGTAAGATGAGGGTCCCCCTCAGCCCAGCTCTGGAAAACGGTAAAAGATACATGCAGTCAGCTGATCTCTACCAGTGCAACTAAACCTGGAGTCTAAGCTCACTGCATGTCCTCGGTGAGGGTGTCACACAATCCTGTGTATCTCAACACTCGACAAATGCAACTCGACACCAAAACTTGACTCACCCAGACAGCATGTGCCTAGTCAGAGGTGTTGATAACCACTATATAAACCTAAATATACACAAGAGTTAGGAGACATGGGGTTACTTCAGGTTAGAACAAGCAAGCAGTAGTCTAAAGTCAATGTATTATCAATATCCAGCGCAGTTTCACCTGCAGAGTGCTGTTCACAAACACAGTGAGCCACACCTCACTGGCTGTCCTTAGAGCGTGCTCGGTCCCAGAACGGGCCACCCCGACCCCCCGGGCTGGGAGCCCAGAGGAGCTGCGTGCGTAGGAGCAGGAGAACAATGGTAGAGTTAAAAATAGAGCCCTTCAAACTCGGGCGGCAGCTCACATGCACTGCTTGACGCACAAGCTGGTAAATCTGTCATCACAGGGACACACCTTAACAGACATGGCTGGCAGAGGGCTGGGCACAAGAAAAAGCAAACCGACACCTCAGCAAATTCCGTTCATGTGCCCACACAGGGACCAATATTTGGTTTTTGAGTCCGACATACATAGGACACGGATGCTGTCTGGACCAGCAGTGAACAGTAAAAAAACCCACTCCATTAGGCCTACAACAACCAAAAATGGGTTGTCTCCTCTCTAAGAGACTTGTGATAGAGAGCAGAAGCAGTAAATCATCATTTAAGAAAGCCTCCGCCAGCCTTTAATGCCAGAAACTGTCAGGGATGCCGTGGACATTGAGCTGTGTGGCTGCAAACAGATGGACGCCGCACGTGCTCTCCTGTCTGTGGCATGAATAAGTCTTCTGGAGATTTGACTTGACATATTTCACAAATATTTGACAGTTTCTTCACAGCACAGTGATGAATGTTCTGCAGCAGTAGACACTAGAGAAATGGCAGAGTGGTGAATGATTGAAATAAATGATATTTTGATGAAAGGCTGGAGCCTGTTAAGCAGTAAACACCCATCCATCTTCCTTTCCTGTTGTGCGCTTGTCTGTCATCTGCCTTTTTAATCAGCCAAATTACTCCTAACACTGGCTACATCCCATCCTGTGAGTTGCCTACTTTTGCACAAAATATCAGCCTTTCAAGTCCCTAATTTCTCCCACCCTCCCTCTGCGCTGTCCTCTTCCTCCATTCACTGTTTTCCCTTCGCTCCTCTTTAGCCCAGCCTCTTTTCTCTTGGTTGCCAGGCTCCTGTTGCTCTGTGAACTCTTAAACTTCATGCCTGGCTTCCTGTGTGCTTCTGCAAAGTCACAACGGTTTCATTTTCCAGCTGGGAACACATCATTTGTATATACACAATCCCCACTCTTGATCCACTTGCGTCTATCGAGATTCTCCAATAAGACCAAAGTGTACCAAGAAGTGTGACGTCAGCCTTAGAAACACCATAGTATTTGCATCTAGTGGATGTGGAGGGGGCAGTGAATGACTCAAAAGAATGTATTGCTCACAGACTAGTCAGACTTTTAGTTTCTTGATGCAGCAAAAAGCATCTGATCCAAACTGGGTCTCGTCAGAAAATAGGGATTAACATTTTGCACAGGTTAAAAAAGATCAGGGCATTAGGAACAGCATCACAAAGATATGAAAAGCAGGTTGGGGTTTATACGCATATGTTTTCTCATCTGAGACTGTTAAGCAACGAGAAAAATCTCAGTTTGCATAAAATCTTAAAAACCTGATTTGACTTCTCAGCAACAGGAGCAGGACCCCACCAACCTCTACATCTCCAACTTGCCCGTGTCCATGGACGAGCAGGAGCTGGAGAGCATGCTCAAGTCCTTTGGCCAGGTCATTTCCACACGCATCCTCCGAGATGCCAACGGGACCAGCCGCGGCGTGGGCTTTGCCAGGTCGGTCCAAGGCCGCGATGATATGAGGATATGATAGTTGCCGCCGTGATTACAATCCCTTTGTGTTGTTTTTTGATCGTGCATACAACAGCTTCACACGAGGCTTTAGATTAAAGCTTGACTGTTTTTTCAGAATGGAGTCCACAGAGAAATGCGAGGCCATAATTCAGCATTTCAATGGGAAATTCATCAAAACGCCACCAGGAGTGCCTGGTGCGTGGAATGTTTGTTTAGTGTTCCTGAAACCTGAGCTTTTTGTTGTTTTTTGCAAAATAGGAGAGTTGTTGCTCCCTGCCGTGATCAATGAATTCACAGTCTTGTTTGATCTGTTTCTTTCTCAGCGCCCACAGAGCCCTTATTATGTAAGTTTGCAGATGGGGGTCAGAAGAAGAGGCAGAGCCAGGGGAAGTATCTCCAGAATGGGAGGCCCTGGGCCCGAGACGGAGATACGGTAACACGGATAGTTTTTACACCGTTTCACTCTTTTATAGACCGCAAGTACTTAAAAAGAATCCAAAGTTTGGATCATTTTCACTCTGTTCTCGCTGGCTGCTTTAGTACATCTTGCACTGCAGCAGTATTTTCATGATCTCACTGGTTCTGAATCCTGTGTATTGTTTTCCCAGGGAGGAATGACGCTCGCATATGACCCCACAGCCTTACAAAATGGGTGAGTGAGCGGTATGCGCAGACTGACTGAAAACAGTCCCAGCCCAACAGGAAGACAAACAGAATGGACAAACTTTGGTATAAGGGTGCCCTCTGCTGGGCAGCACTGGAATGCTACGCTGGTTGGTTTTAACGTGTCCCTCTCACTGTGCTCTGTTTGGCAGCTTCTACCCCTCACCGTATAGTCTCGCTCCAAACAGAATGATCGCTCAGACTTCCCTCTCTCCATACATGCATTCCCCTGTTTCATCCTACCAGGTAGGATGTTATTGACTGTCTTGGATTAAAACATTGTTTTATTTATGTCTAGAAATCTTTTATTTTGGTTGTGGTTATGAGACCCAGTTCAGCCTCTTCTTGTGGCCTTTTCCTACAAATTTTAAGTCTAAAAGGGGACTCACAAAAATACACCCGGGAATAAAGTGGAGAATAAATGTATTCCTTGGTCCACAGGTACACAGCCCGTCCTGGATGCATCATCAGTCATACCTCATGCAGCCAGCTGTGAGTTCCTGATGCCGTCTTCTGCCCCGCTTTATTCTTGTGCCATTCAGGCAGTCACAGTTGTAGTTGTTTTTTTCCCCACCAGACTGGTTAATGTGGAAATAAAGCAGGACAGGAAAAAGAAAGAAAAAATATTAATGTGTTGCTTCATTTTTAACTGAATTATAATCACTTACCGTGTGTTGACTCTCACTGAGGGAGGCAATGGATACTTCATCTCACTAATTTAGTGATTTGCTGAGTAACTGTCTTATAAAATGAGTGTTGCTGTTCCCTCTTAGGGTACAGTTCTTACCCCAACAATGGACCACACCATGTCCATCCAGCCCACCTCCATGATGGGACCTCTCACACAGCAATTAAGCCACCTGTCCATGGGCAGCACAGGCACAGTCAGTACCCCCCCCACACAGACACACACACACTCACACACCCCTATCTGCAGACACGTTGTGCATTTGCCAGATATGCCATGACCTTTTGCCTAGAAATCCTCAAGCTCACGGGTGTTCTCCTCGCTGCCTTCCCTGCAGTATATTCCGGCCAACACTACTATGCAAGGGACCTACATCCCCCAGTACACCCCAGTGCCTCCTTCCAGCGTCCCAGTAGAGGTATGGATGTTTCCTTAGTTTCAGCTGCCTGCATATGAGCCCGTCTGTGACACAGATGTGTCCGTTAACACAAATAGGAATGCGTTTATTTATGTGGATGAGGGAAGATACCAAAGTAAAGAAGGTGACTGTAAAACCGTGGGCAGGTGGCGTGGGGATTCTTTAGTCATTCACTGACTGTTGAAGTTCTAGAATGATCTCAGCAGGATGTGCTTTCAAATTTACCTATTGGTCATCCACAAAACAGCTGGAATTAGCAATGCCCAATGTGCCTTTTTTTTTCTTTAGGAGAATGGTGGTCAGCAGCAACAGGTTGCCATGGAGACTCCCGCAGATCACACAAACTACTCATACCAACACACCAAGTGAAGCTAAGGTAGGAGAAGGATGATCTGTCTGAATGTTCCACAGTTATACAGATGGCTGTTTTTCTAAAGTATCTGGGTGTAAAATTCAGGAAACACAATTCATGACTGACCTGTGTGCAGTCTGACTCTATTTGAGTGGGCTGACGCTGTCACATTCACACTGTGGAAGTGGACTAATTGTTCAACGAAGACACTGAAAACCACATTGTTTTTTAGTGTAATAATGCAGTTTGTAATATACAGCACATCCTTATATTTTTGTTACAAATTATTATACCCTACAGGTTTTCTGAAAATGGCATTGTTCTTTAGGTTTTCAGCCTAATTCCTACAAATATTGTATTGCTGTAAAGCTTTACATTATTATGACAAGTGGGCAACAGTTATCTAAAAAGGAGAGAAATGGTAAATACGCTTGACCTGCAGTGGTGAACATGTGTCTCCCCCTTCTGATGGGGAGAGGAACTACATAATGACTTTCACCTCAGGATGTTTAGCCCTTGTTTGCTGATGGTTAGATTTCATAAATGCTGCACTACCGGTGTAGGAATGTCACTGCAGGAACTTGTTACCAATAGACCTAATCAGTATTTTTCGCAATCCTTCGGTAATGATTGAACTTCACTTTCATATATGCGAAAAACATCCTGGACAGACAATTGAACATGTCTGTATCCTCTCATGCTGGACACCCGTGCACATACAGTATGCCTGGATCACTCCAATACGACCAATAAACAAAGGCACTACACGGAAGCTTGTTTTTAGGAGAATCTGGACTTCTGCAGTGTAGTGGAGGCCGATTACATGCCCATATGTGGGAGACCCACAGGATAACACCAGTAGAGCCGTTGCATGTCTGCAGACCTAGTGGAACACATGATGCAGCCGGCCTTACATTTATCAGTTTAGCAGATGTTTTCATCCCCACTGACAAATGGGTGGAGAAAGATTTGGGGCCAAGGTGGAGTTCAGAGTCTCACACAAGAACTCTGTCAACATGTGGACTTTGGGGCCGGGGCCTGACTGTGTGAACTCCTGATCAGTTTACATCCTGTGGGTGTTTCTCAGAAATTAAAATCAGATCATTCCATACCATATAACCTTACTGGTAGGTCTATACTCTGAGAGGGTGATAATGCTTCATGAGACACCACAAGCATTGATAGGTTCACACATCCTTATGTAAGTGTAACAATAGGAGTTTTACGTCTGTGATTTCTACAAAACTGTGCATTTCGTGTACTCTACTAAAAGCTGAAAGGGAAAATCAGTTACTCCAGCTTGTTTGGCATCAGGTTTCCTGCCTGACAAATTGAACCCTTCAGTTTTTCGACGTGCTCTGATTGTGGCTGCGTGCTGAGCAGGTTCAGGGTATCAATAATGAGCTGGATGTTGGTCTGTTTCAAACTTCCAGCACGGTGGGGCCGAGGACATGAAAGAGTCCAACCAAAAAGGATTCGGCTGGAAGAGATGTGTGCTCCATACCGTCACAAACCGCTGGACTATGGATAACAAAAGGAACATGCGTGTGTGCCTGCGAGTGTGTTTGTTTCTAAGTGTGACTGTTTGTGTGTTTGTGTGTGTGTGTGTGTGTGTGTGTGTCTGTTTTCTGTTTATTGTTCTTTTCTTTTTTTAAGAAAAAGGACAACACTTAAAGTCATTGGACTCTTCTGCTCACATCCTCAAGAGTTGATCAACCAAAGGTGGGAATCTTCTCCAGAGAAGCTTTGATCTATTTTGATAACTGAGAAAGGAACATAACAAAATATTTTGAAAAAAAAAATTACGAAGAGGAGGAAAAGACACAGAGCATTATTTTTGCGCATGTGATAAGACAAATTCTTATTTTTAACAAAGCATTCTGGATGTTTCAGAGTGATTCAAGGAAGAGTTGAAACACAATGTGTCTTTTTTTTTGTAAAATATGCAAGCTTTCATTTCCTGATGTCTGTTGTTTGATGCTCTATTTGCAGCAGCAACAATTTGTACAGATTTAGAACCTTATGAAAACTTTTGCTGGTCTGATGTGTGGAGTGACTAACTGTGGGAGGTAAACCGTTTAAAGCTACTTCTTCCTGTAACTGCTGCAGAGATTTCTATTCACGCACAGACGATAAATACATTGACTTTTTCTAGTTTAGTCAAGTTCTTTTTTTTTTCCTTTAGATGATTTTTTTCACAAGAGAAACAAAAGACAATCAATTATTTATATTTGAATCATAGTACTATTTTTTGGGGTTTTTAATCATTGAAGCCTACATTTGTAGAAAAGAGGTCATTTGATACTGTAGTCTGTGAGGACAAGCTGAAAATGGACACAAAGATCTTTACCCCGCACAGTAATGAGCTCCTAACACTTTTTATTGTTCTTTGTTTGTTTTTTTGCTTTCGGTCCTGTGTTTACGGGCTTTAAACACAAACACTAAAATGAGACACGTTCATACTAAAAGTCGTCCTTCATCGTTAGAATGTAAACTCACGTCACGTCCCTGTTTATGAGAAGTGGTTTTAAGCGGTTTTGTTGTGGCAAACCATCAGGTATCCTTAAATTCATCCTCAGTCTAAGGGATGGAGGGAATATGCTTTAGAAAGGAGCAGTTAGATATTATGTGTTCAAAAAGCAATGCAGTTACTAAATTAAAGTGTAGTTTAGCAGGAATAATGAGGTAAATTAAACAGAAGGCTTAGAACATCCCTGAGAATAATTAGTCTGAAATGAAAGGGAGCTGTAAGTCTTTTTTTTCATGCTGCTGTCTCCTGAGTTTGATTCTGTTATCCGTGAGTTTGTAGTTTGTAGGAAGTTCAACGTTTTCTGTTTTTCTTTTGTCTGTCACTTGAAAACCCTTCAGCGAATTTGCCTTACTTTTGATTAATTAGTCTTAGACTAGATTTTAGCTGTAGAGTTTAGCTTTTTACAGAGAGTAGATGTTAGATTTTTTTCTCTTTGAATGGATTGATGCTTTATTTTTTTTTTGTGCACATCAAGTTTTCTCTTTGTTTTCTTCTCACGTGAATTGCCGTTCCGAGCCTTGCGTCGTCCGTCTCTCCTGACATTGTGTCTGGCCGATTTGTTGAGAGCCTTTCAGGATGGGGAGCTGAACCCAACAATGACTTAATGTGGTGCTGATCGAAAAGATTCCCATCACGCTGCACCGGCGTCCTGATGCAAAAACGTTCGCTGCGTAAAAATCCCGGCCAGCACATCCAGTCAAGCTCACGTCACCACATCCATCCGAACAGACTGTCATTTATACAGACACCACAAACTGTAGATATGTAGATAATAGAAATAATAATGGTTTTTACAAAGGACTGCTCACTAGACCATGGAAGTGCCATTAAAGAGGATTCTTACAGCCTTTAGTGAGACAGCGGCTCTGAATGAATTTGTGAGTGATCGAAAATACAGCAAAAACAATTTGAAGCCACGCCTTAATGTTTCTACTCTGGATGAACTGCCGGATTTCTCCCAGGATTGACTTTCATTTGTATATCCTACGGCGGGCGTGCTTAGTTGGCGTGGGGTCGGGTTGGGAGGCAGTACAGTGCGTAGTTGTGGTCTTAGGAGGAGCTGTCCCAGCTGCCCGCTGACCGCCGGTGTGAGAAGCAGGTGACGTCTGTCCAGAGGCTTTTTCACACTTGACTTTTCGCTGTGTGCTTCTGTTGTATATTTTTTACAACCAAAGATGTTGTAGCCACCCACATTTTAGCTCTCCGTCACAGAAAAACTGCTGTTGGATAGAATGCTGGTTCATCGATGGCCCTGAGGTGGTTAAACATGCACTTGATGCTCCGCGTTTTAGTTACAGTTTCAAAATATGTCCATGGGAATCTTTTTGTTTTGTTTTTGTTGTTGGTTTGGTTATTTCTTTCTACCTAAATGGAGATTCCCGCGGTGTACAGAGTACACAGAGACAGACTCAGCTGGCTTCAGGAGGAACCCGGAGAGCAGCTTTGTGGTCATGTGGTCTCAAAACACAAGACACGAGAGACACTTTTGTAAATAGCCTTTCCTTCCTCCCACTCTCTCCTTTCACCATTCTGTTTCATTCTTGTGTCCTCTTGATTTTTGTTTTTTATTTCGTATGATTTTTGACCTGTCCAGATGACACAGCGACTATCACGTTTTCAGATTCACCTCATCATGAAGGAAATGTCCAGAGAAATTATATTCCATGTATTAGCCATCACTTTTAATACAACAAACGGGATTTTGGAACTATGAAATGACCATGTGTTACAATACAGTGTTTATTTATTTATTTTTTTTACAGCAGAGCTAATGTTGCAGGAAATTATCATTTTTTTAAACAAACTGGCGTTTTATTTACATAAGAAGTAAAAAAAAATACTAAGAATGATAGTAAACTCTGTAGATAGTACAAAGTTTCTGAAATATAAAAGAATTCCTTGCACTTATTATTCCATGTTGATTTTAAATGCGCCTTTTGTCCATCCCCATGTCAATTTGGTGGCTTGTTTCATAGTTTCAAATCATTTTGCTGCTAAAACAGAGTTTCCAAACAGGTAGTTTGATTTAGTCCAAACTGGATTTTCACAGTTTCCTTGTTCTTTTATTCAGTTGCTACAAGTGCCACAATCGGTTGAGTTTGAAAGAGTGACTTAAGGCACAGATCATTTAGGGATTATCAGGTTAAAGGTCAAGATGTAGTTAGATTAGCTGTGCCCTTTCCAAATTGTAACCATCTCCTCCTTTCAAAGTGTAGAAAGATGTACAGATGCCTAGTAACAATTATTTGATCACAACAACCAACAATTCTGCAGTAGAGCTAACATGTTTTGTCCCTTTTGAGCTACTGTAGTACCAGGTTGGTCAGACTTAGGTCTAACTTAGGGGACAGCTTGCAGCAGTGGAAGGTTTGGATGTAAATTATTTCAGTGAATAGTTAATATAACCTTTGTATTGTATTTCTGCGTGTGTTGTGCAGAAATATAACTCGTTGGTCCTTTTTAAATAGTTTAAATTTAAACAACCGATTTTCAGAGAGGTAACATTAAAAAAACTAAACGCTAAATGCTGTATGAACCGAGTTTATGTGAGCCACAAGCACTGTGAAAATTCACTGGACTCATCTGACTCCCTGCTTGTGAATGGTCTCCTTATTTATACAAGAACTCATTTTTGTACAGTTTTGTTAGAGGAAAAAGGTTTTGATATTTGATTATTTTGCAAATGCCACTTGGCTACTTTTGTCTTCCTGTGCCAGAGTTGCTAAATTGTCTGTAACTTGTGTTTTTCTTGGTTGTTTTTTTTTTTTGTTTTTTTTTTATTGATTGAGTTAAGATTTGACTTCTTCCTTGGTTTTCTCTTTGAAATTGAATATGTCTGTTTTTCTTTTTTTTTTTTAAATAAAAGTCTTGTTTCAATGTTTGGGGGAACTGTTTTATTGTCTTCCACCTCAGGTTATAAGCATCTGTGTGATACACCAGGCTATCATTATTATCATTTATTTAGTTTTATATGGTTTACTGTTAATAGGACCGCTAAAAAAAAAACATCCACGTTTGACGGTCAAACTAATGAAACAGTAGGTCTTGTTAAAAAACAAACAAATTAAAAACAACTTTAAACTCTGACCATGGGGAGATAAGAGTTGTGGACGACGGCACACAGTGTAGTTCTTACGTCACCTTTTATTGTTGAGTCAAAATGAAGCATACACAACTGTTTGTCGTTAGAAAAAGAATATTCAAATTGAACACCTTCATTTGATATACAAAACCTCTATTGCACAGGAAACTATCTGAAATCATTTAGATCACACCTAAAAGGCCACCATCAACCCACAATCTGAACTGACACCTTTACATATCTTAAATTGTCATTTTGTTCACTTTGATTATTTTGAAACTCTAAGTTCAAAAAACAAAAAGACATCCACAGCTGTTTAAAAATGTCTCCTCTCACATACAGTACCTATGTGCAAGACACTGTGTCACCTATTATGTTATCCATTGTACAACCGGTATAAAAGTTACATTTCTATATACATATATAGATATACAGATTCATATTACCAGCAAAATAGCTTTATCAAACAAACTCAACACTGCTGAGCTTAAAAGTGCACATTTCCTCGGGGTCTCAGCTAAGAGTTCCATGAGTTCAGCTGAAGGCGGGCTTCACTCTCGGCCTCCCCCCAAGATCTGCAGCAGGAAGCTGAACAGGTAGATGATGTCCAGGTACAGGCTGAGGGTGGCAAAAATGTATTCCTCTGGACTTATGGCGTAGCGTTTGTTCCCTAAGAGCATCTGGGTGTCGAAAGCCAAGAACTGTGGCAACGGAGAACAAGAGGAAAAAGTCAGTGAGTTTGAAAAAAATATCAATAATGTCAAAGATAATTTGGAATATCTCATTCCTACCAGTGTGAACAGGATGGCTCCTATCACAGCATAGGTGGCATGTAACCAGGGAACCTGTGGCGTGAGATAGAAAACCATTACAAAACTGTTTTAAGAAGGATAGCAGAATGCTAATTTAAGACAGACAGAGAAGAACGAGATTATCTCCAAAGCTAATCTCCTTTTCACTGACTAACGCCTGGAAAAAGCCAGCAGCATTCAGGGCAATAAGCTGCAACTGTTGTTTAACTCATCATTAACCCCCGATAATTAAGCCTCATGGAGGTGTGGGAATGGATTGTACCAGAATGAGGGATGGAGGGGAACTTACGTATCCGAAAGGGACCACAATAGAAATGGTGATGGCACAGAGGAACAGGGTCATGGTCAGAGAGAACAGGACCCCCTGGCAGGACGTCACATCGATCTGCAACCGGAGGCAAAAGAGTAAAAAAACTAACGTCCTGAAATGCTGCAGCTTGTGTAGATCAAAATAAGTGTGAAAGTCGTCTTCTCACCCGGCTCTGGAAGCTGAAAACGCTGACGGACAGGCACACCAGGGCAGTGATTCCCAAACACAGCATCACCGACTTGGTGTTGTAAAAGCTGCAGGAAACAGAAACGTGCACTCGTGTTAGAGGCCTCACAATCACCATTTCCAAAGCAGATCTTCCTGGTTTGAGTTTACCTTGACACGAATCCCATCATGAAAGCCATGCTCAAAGTCTGAGGGGAAAAGGAAACTCCGTTAGGTACCTGCTTAGCTCTGCTAAGCCAGAAATGATAAGTGATAGCAGTAATGTTCAGAGCAGGTGCTAGATTTAATACTTACAAAGCAAACTAGCAGCATCACATTCCAGGGAAACTGCCTCCTGTTAGGTAAAAGGAAAAATACACTCTTTACATCTCTATTTTACAGATGTGTGTTAAGCCGGCCTCCCCCGTGTTGCCATGTATTTTTTGGGTTGATTGTAAATGGAAGTGTTTACCTTAGTTCTCCACAGCAGGACAGCGCAATGTAGGTGGCAAAAAACATGATGCTAAAACAATGAGAGAATACTTAATATGATGACGGAGAATGTTAACAAGCCATAAGTGTGATGATGTGCTGAAATGCTCCCACTTACTAAGATGCCATGTACAAGCTGGGATGAGTCTGAATATAGAACCTCACGGGAGCACTGAAAGAGGGACAAAAACACCCGTTCAAATACGTCTGATATTGGTCAAACTGTAAAAAAAAAAAAAAAAAAAGTTTATGGGATTTAACAAATTGAGTAAAAGAGAAACACAACAACAGTTACCAAAATGTGAAAAGAGCCACGATTCCCACGGTCACGGACAGCTGGAGCATGAGAATGGCGTAAACCTGCAGGTGGAGATTCACTGTTAGAGCTATGTCATGTTTTCTTTGGTATTTATTCCCCGTGCCAGAGATGTGGGATCAGTTTTTGGTACCTTCCTGATGAACGTCCGCCTGATGTTTTTGTCATCCCAGGCAAACTGGGCCTCCATCTCTCCATAGCCTACAGAAGGGAAGCAGATGTGGCAGGGTTGCAAAGGAAGCCTTATGACATCACCAAAAACCTATCCGCTTAAATCCTTTGAATAAGTTCAATCGTTTTTTTTTTTAAATAGTGCATGTAACGCAGAAAGTGTGCGGTTCCTCACCTGCTGTTGCCTCCTGATAGGTGGGAGGCTCGTTGTCGTTGCTCACCTGCTGGGAATGAACGACAGACAGCTGGGTGGTTAGTTTATTAGAACAATTTATTCTAATCACCAGTGAGCAGAGGCACGGCTCCCTGTGGGGAAAACTTTATATTTTCATTTTCCCCATTTTCACAGATGAAAAACACAGAAATCTGCATCTGAGGCCTGTGCTGACTCCAGAAGGGTCTGCTGGGTTGGATTAATTGGAAGGATTAAAGCATATTGTGTGTTTGTGCGGCCCACACTGACACCACGGTGATGAATTACAGGGGGGAAATTTCATTTTACTCCGTTTGAGTGTGGGCTACCTTCCCAGTCCTGTCTCAGCAGTCTAACTTTAAATAACATCAAATTTGCACCCCTTTGAGAGAAGACATTTCAAGCCGACTCAATGAATAAGTCATTAGTCTTTAACTTCTTCCAGAGCAGAGGTTTTTTATCCCCCCCCCCTTTGGTGTCGCTACGAAACATGAAAAATGAAAACATACCTTTCCCTTTTTCATGATTTTTTTCCCTTTTTGCTCCTTGCGGTTGCTGATGTGGAGGAGGGACAACTGGGACGTCCCTGGCGGTCTTCTGTTCTTCTTTGAAGTGGTCTCAAAATGTTAGAATGGCTCAGGTACTAGTGTTGTCTTTAAAGAACGCGCTGACCGTGTTGGTTTAGAGGCTGCTCTGAAACTGTGTGATGAGTGTGTGGATTATGCAGGAGCTTTATAGCTCTCCGTTTGCTTAATCTCTCTCTAACCCAGATCCAACCCCCCCCCCCCCCCATGGTCATCCTGTTAGCTCGCTCTAGCACAGTCCAGGCGCTCTCCGAATAGCCAGATCAGGGCAGCCCGTACTACTGCTCTGCCAGAATAGGGGTGTTTCTTTGCTGCTGCTCTTTACTGGCACAGAGCTTCTTAATGGTTTGAGGAGTCCTAATCATTCTGCTGCTCACCAGATCAGCTCAAAGGTCTTACATGGCTGAATTACATATGCATTACCTAACTATTTCAATCCCATTTTGGCTGGAAATGAAAGGAAAAAATACGGCGGTTTCTGTAGGTTATCATATGTAATGTGGGAGTTTGTTCATGCCCGGCTTCACAGGGAGTAGATCTCACTATGGAGATCTATAGGAATAGATCTTGTTGCCCATGAGCCGCTGAAAGCCAAACACAAAGTTTTGATTGGTCCAGAAAAATAATCAAAGAACCCATATACAGTTATGTCTCCTCACTGACTCGAATCCCTGCTGCTGCCAGTGGCCTTTTTCTTCTGACTTCTTTTGTTGAGCTTCGGCTCTTTTTTTGTGTGTGTCTGTGCCCAATATAGAAACAAAGTCTTCAAGTAAACAAATGACATCAGGGGTTAAGTAAGAGGCGGCTTGAATAATAGACACCTTAAACTAATAAGAAAGAAGTTAAGATCATTATGGAGCACACATGGAGATTTACCAGTGAGCGTTGACCTTTGATCTGCTTTCCCTCATCGTCTGGGTAAAGCCATCAGGTTTCTACTTTGACGAGTTTACCGTTAGAGCGGTGACCACCAGGACTAAATACGCCCTATTGGACGTAAATAAAACTAAAGTTAACAGACAAAGATCTGAATTCACCGACTACTTCTAGGATAGCAGGGCAGCAGACCATCCCAACGGTCACTCAGAAAGATGTGAGGGGCAGGGCCACCATAACAGGGCTGACCCCCAGGGAGACAACCACGCTTAATGGCAAGTTTGATGAAGAGTTAACGGTAGAAAAAGTGAGTTGGTGGAACTGGAGAGGGGAATGTGACATCCAGGGTTTGAAGCACAGGATTTAGTGTCGTTATTTGATCTGTGTTAATTGTACCCTAAAGTACACATCTATCTCAAAACAGCTCTTTACAAAAGCTGATTTTTGTTCGTTTGTTTTGTCCATCTGGGGGCAGCAGGAAGGACCCATCATTCTGTCACTGGGGAAAAATTCCCCTGTAATGGCCACTAGATGGCAGCAGTGTATAAAACAAATTCCCCACATTGCAGTTTTGCCTCCTATCGGATCTTATAGCTGAAATATCTGTATTCCCTTTGGCTTTGTCACTTGTCCTATTACAAAATGTTCTTGAAAAAAAAAAGTTTCCTTAGGAAACAACTCATCCCTTTTGAGGCGTGAGAGGGTTTGCTGTTATTTCTGGAGTTCTGCGTTTCACACGGCACAGGTCAAAGAAAAAAAGTGGCATGGTTGTGTTCGTTAAACCGCAATGAAAAATAAATGACGTGATCGTGATCATGTGACTTGATGAAAAATCATGTGACTTGATCAAAAATTGCCGATCAGCCACAAAAGGGACATCAGTAAGCACGCAGGCCTGGATCTGTGTGGCGTGTCAGGCGGGTTTCCAGAGGCTTCTGGCCTGAAACTGGACGGGTCAGAGCACTTCCTGTTGATGCTGTGCTGTCCAGCAGGTGGCAGGTGGAGACCTCAGCTCGATCTACAGAACTGGCTGCCTGTGGCTGGAACCAGGTGGGATCAGGCTCTCTTTGAACCAGTTTTTTTTTTATTTTCTTTCTCATGCAACATTGACACGAGGCATTAAATACTGGGCGGCTTTTTGGCAGCTGCTGGTTTTTCTTTTCTTTTACTTCTTCGTATCAGCGAACGCAGATCGGTGCCCTCAGACACAACTGTACCACAGACAATCACCCGATGTGGGGGCATTTATTATTCATAAATGACATGTGGGGTCCCAGGTTTTCTAGGAAATGAACTAATGGACTTGAAGGAGGGGCAAATGGACCTCTGCCTTAAGCGATTTGGGAATTGAACCCATAAAGGCCCATTAATCTGCATAAGGCAAAGATTTATGGACCTGCCTGATATCACATCGTTCGGTTTTACTCCTGTAGTTGGGTTTAAAAAGAAGACAAAGCCAGTGACTAATGCAGACCTCTGAAGGTCAGAGTCAGTGTTTATGGAAACTGTTCCCAAACATTTCTACTGAGATGCCTTTCCCAGGACCAGACGACACTGATAGCAGGGAGCTCCTTTTTCTGCCCCTGCCTGAACCCGCCAGGAGCAGATTTTATTCACGTACATCCCTCTGCATCCTGCGCTGCGACCGTCCTCTCGTGCGTACATCAATAAACCCGTATCAGCGCTCATCTCATGTAGACTAAATGTCATTGTGTCCTCCTCAGAAATGAACATCGCCGTGTATCTACAGACACAATGTTTTTCAAATGATACGCTTTAGTTTACACACTTAAAAATCCGGGGATGTTTCGTGTTAGGAGTAAAACCTCTAATGCCTTTCAGTCCTGATGCATGATTGGCTGATTGCCTCAGTTGCTAGGCTACGGATCCGTGTAGGCCTCAGGATCATGGTAAAGAAAATGAAGAGGAATGAGCACCCAGGAGACATTCCTATGAAATACATTTCTTAGTGGCGTTCTGTGTTGTAACAGTAGATCTGTACAAAATGTACTCAAACCGGCGCTTTTTTTGACAATACATTTATTTAAATTTTTTAATCTTCAAAATAAAAAGTTTATAGTCAGAGCACATAGTTCAAATGTGGATTTCTCTTTGCAGTCAGCAGAGCAGTTTATTATATGTGATGGCATGACAAAATTCCATTAACATATACAAGAATCTGCAAACTAGCACTGAAATAAACCAAAAAAGATGATTATGTACAAAATATACAACAGTACACCTTAATATATATATATAGCCGTCCAAACATGGTCTAAAATGACCAATTATTTCTCCCTGATTACTGTGTACAAATACAATTCAGTTTAGTCTCTTTTCTTAAAAATATCAAACATATGTCAATCACAAATGGGTGATTTCCATAAAGATATTCCACATAAAATTAGTGAAAATAGCTTATGTCATCTCAACAGGGCAAACACAAACGGCTCTCCTCACTCTGTGTTAGAAACTGCTATTGCTATATCATACTCTATACAGATTTAAGAGGTTCTTGATGTATGGGAATTGCCTTTACACGGATAGCAAGAATGTACAGTAAGAAATCTCCACTGTTGAGTGTGTTTTCTTTTCTTTTTTTACATCAACAAGAATGCGTCCGTTCTTCTTGTTAGCTTGGTGCGCTTGGATAGGAGAACAAAGTCTGGTGAGGTGAGGAACAACAAGCTCTCTTTTCTTTGTGGCCCTCGGGGCCAGCCTTTTGCTTCAGACAAACTCCGGGTGGCGGTGGCTTGACACTGACTCATGAAAATAAAAAAAAAGAGGAACAAACTGTTTTTTCTTTTTTTTCCTTGGCAGTCCAGCTGGAAGCACCTCTTGAGTTCAGGCACCTCCACCCCCCCCCCCCCCGTCGTGCCTGTGTTCTTCTCCGATGTTTTTCCTCAGCCCTCTCTCCTCTCACGCCATCTTAGTTGGCACAGCTCCCAAAACCAGTGTCCGGTGTGCAGAGGGCAGTGTCCTGAATGTGGCACGCCCGACGCGCACGGGGAACAAACGGGCTCCCAAAAGCAGATACCCCACAACAACCGTCCCGAATCAGGGGTCTATACGGAAGGCTAGCAGCTTGTCGGAGTGCTGGTTGTTGAGGGTGCGCAGGTCGGGCAGACGCAGCAGCAGCTTGGGGAAGAGCGTGCTGTCGTCCGGCCGGCGACTGGTGATGAGTGACCGCAGGGCTTTTATTAGATTCTCCTGCAGCTGCTCCACTGCTCTGACCTCCACTATGCCGGAGCGGTCTGGAGGAGGAGAGGGAAAAACCGGGGTCAGACATCAGAACACGTATCGCGTATTACAACGATAGCGTGTTAATGTGTTTTTTTCCTGCTTACCGGCAGACACCAGTACGACAGCCATAAAAAGCGCCATCTCATCGGGCTCCAGGCCTAAAGACCCCAGCTTCTCACTGAAGTCAAACATGGCGTCCAATAGGACGCCCATGCCGAGAGCTCTCAGCGATGCCAGCGAGTATGTCTGTCCATTCAGGAAAGTCACCGTCCTCTCCTTGGGGTCAAACAACGAGCAGAACCTGACCATGAGAACCTGCAGACAGAACGAGGCCGGGTTAATATCACGAGAGGCTCAGGGGGAAGAAAAAGGGAACTTCTAGCGAGTGGTGGGATAAATGAGTTCAAATAGGCGTACCTGGAAGGTGCCGGATTTGAGCAGCATGACCTGGTCGTGCTGGCTGAGGGACTGGAAGCCCGGGATGCTCTTTGCAAACTCCACCACCTCTTTGACCGCGGGCGTGAAGCACTGGGAAAACGACTCCCACACGTCCTGACTGGAGCGACTGGCCGGAGCCACCGGACATGAATTTAGAGGACACGCCTGCAGGACACAAGGAGGAGAAATTATAGACCCTTTAGACACATTAATGAGACAGATTCATGCAGACTCGGTCACACGAACAAAAAAGGCAGACTCACCAGTACTTTGGATCCTCCGTTCAGCTTCCAGGGGCAGGAATTTTGGTTTTGGAAGTCAGTTCCTTGGAAGCTGTTCTGATTGGCTGCGTACGTGTGAGATGACCGGCTGCCACTGACTGGACACCGATTCTGGTTGGAGGAGAAGGTGTACTTGGCGTTGTCGACGTTTGTGTTGGCGCTCTCGCTGCCGGGGAGGCTGGTGGGGGGGTAGCTCCTGGCCAGGTTGGCCTGCTCGGCCTGAGCCGTTTGCTGCGTCTGGGCCGACCTGTTGGACATGGCGGATTCCTGCGCCGCGGCGCTCCTGAAGGACGAAGCGCCGGACGCCATTTTGAGCGGTTTCTCCTCGCAGCGGTACGGCTGCAGTATGGAGCCAGCTCCATCGTTAGCGGGGTTTTGCGGACTGCAAGGGGCATCGGGAGGAGAGGACACCTCCATCTCCATGGAAGCAGATTCATTTAGACTGTTCATGTAGCTCTGCATCTCATCCAGCAGCCTCTGCTTCTCCCGCTTGGGAATCCGCCCAAAACGCACAGCTGAGGAGGAGAAGCACAGGAGAGTAGAGCTGTTAGAATCGAGGGACATCAGCCCACGGCTGGTGCCTAGCTGGCAGCTCTTTATTTGCCACATTGAGGCAGGTGAAAACCGATTCTATAAATAGGCAGGCGACCAAAACCCGTCACATAGGCTTTCATGTCTGTGTCACTGTTGTTACGCCACGGATCAGATAGTCAAACCTGCATCCCACCCGCTTGCCTCATCCTGCTCTTTAGCCTTTAGAGTCCCCCCTTCCCCCCTTTTTCAATTCTGCACCTCCTATGACAGTCCTATTTATAGGATGCTGTATGCCATACCATCTCCTCCCCCACTCCACTTTTTCTCCCTCATTCTGCCTTTCAGTTGAGCTCTGGCTTTCTCTAGATAAGTAGGTCACTGGGTCACCGGCGCTGAACCTGGTGTCATTTGTAATGTGACAGCGTGAATGATTATTGGAAAGGTCGAAGGCGCCAGCAGCAGGTGTGGCGGCTGAGGGTGGATCAAAACTGAATAATTAAAGATTAATTTGCTAGCTCGATCTGATGTTGAAAAGCTAAAGGCATTAAAAAGTGAAAGGCAATTCAACCATCAGCCATTATGTTACATTTTTGCCAAACACTGTGAGTGGACACCAATAAAACATGCTAAATGTTTTTCTTCTGGCTTCGGTTTGATGAATTAGTAAATCACTCTTCCCTTCCACACTTTTTGGGTCAGCTAAAAACGTGTGTTCCAGAAGAAAAACATGATTTATTATTGCCTGGTTTGGGACTAACATGAGAGAACGGAGGAGGAGATTAGCTGCTGAGATATCATTCTAATTTACAAGCCGAGCCATAGAGGCTCTCATGATTAACTAGGCAGAATGAAATTATGTTGCCAATGATTGTTTGGGAGGACTGAACTTCACGGTAATCATAAGTGGCAATCAACAACTTTGTGCTCCAATTTCCTAAAATAAAACTCAATTTTCGCTGTTTCTATGTGACTGATGACAGCTGGGACTCTAAAGCCCCTCTTGCCATAAATCAGACAACAGTGAAGGGTAAAAGTGGAGGAGGATGTAATGAAGAAAAAAGCATTATATCGAGGACATTTTGCTTTTGCGGAAAGCTATGGAAGGAATGAGGTCGGGAATTTTTCTTTAGATTCATAAAGCTCTGGGTGACCCTGTATTCCATATACCACCATATGGCTCTAAACTGTAACATTACGAGAAAAATGTTTCAGTTTGAATATGTTTCAGTCTAATCTGTGAGGAGGTGAATACTGTTTCTTACCATCTCTGGACATTCCCACGGACAGACACTTCTTAAAGCGGCAGTGTTGGCACCGGTTCCTGTTCATGCGCATAATGAGGCAGTTCTCATTCTTCACACACATCTTGTAGTGGATATTCTGTTGAATGCTGCGTCTGAAAAAACCCTAAACACAGAATGCAAACGGGGTAAGAATAAAGACTCGGGAGCGGGTATTCCGTGCCACTGTGTCCATACGATCAGCCGTTAGACGGACATGGCGTGACCCTGGTGGCGCCTGTTCTCACCTTGCAGCCCTCGCAGGCGTGGACGCCGTAGTGGAACCCGGATGCGATGTCTCCACACACTTTACACAACAGCACCATGCCTCCGGTCTCTATGGAAGAAATTAAACACAGTCATTATCAGATCCTGAAATATACACCCAAACAAGCAAAGGGGGGGACAAGAGGGAGGGTGGGTACTTACTGGTGAACGTGCCGGTGAAACCACACGGCCTTTTAGCCACTGTGGGATGGCTGTAGGCGGCCTGGGAGACGGCGGTAATTGGGGCGACTGGAGCGCTGTTCACTTCAGGAAACTGAAAGACCATTTTGGGGGAAGCGGTCCTTGCCCCTTGTTCGCCTCTCTGCTTGACGGCTCCGATCTCCTGAAAGGAGACACCCTCGGGGGACGAGGGCTGCGAGTGGGAAGACGGCGACTGGGTCTGGTATCCACTTGAAGGACTGCCAGGGCTGGGACTGGCACTGCCAGATGAGCCGGCGTACAAGATGACACCACCTGAGGGAGAAGAGAAGAGGCGATCAGTTCCCCGCTCTTCATCTGGGTCACCGTTCACATGCGCAATGTAGGTGAGCGTGTGAGCGTTGAGCAATGCCCTGCTCTGATAGAGAGAGCTCCCCGAACACACACAAAACCCTGACCATTCATTTCGGGACAGCCCATATCTGATCTAGTGAATAATTTAGAACAACCACTCTGATGTGGATACTTGTGGGGTGGGATCAGTTAGAATTCCAAAAACAGGAAATGGGTGAAAATCAGGCCGAACATGAGTCGAGTTGTGAATGTGGTCTACAATCTTGAACCCTGTTGAATCAATGCAGATGAGCGATCTCCTCTGTGGGCTGAAGCCACTCCCACCCCCCGGCGGATAGTCACGCCGGGTTAGGCATTTAAACAGCATAATCTGAAAATTACAGTCTGACAAGGCTGGCCTTTAACTGAGGCCCCACCTCTGTGTTACACTGACCCATTGTGCGTCTGCCTCACATTGCACACATGCAGACTGTGGGATAGGACACGCCTCACAACGTGTGGGCCGGATCACAGGCAATAAGCTAAAACACATTAGCAATTAGAAAGGCTATAAACAGGCCTGTATATACGATATCATATCAAGTTGGAATTGCCCTATTAAACCCTGCCCCCCCCTCCCCTCTTTGTTTTGCAGACTGTTCTTCCCTGAAAACAGAAAGGCTGCTGGTCACGTGCAGCCACCTCACTGCCAGCTTGCTTTCAGAATCGAATCTTTCTCCACGCTCCCTCCTCCTTCCTCCCTCCCTTCTTGCATCCTCCTCCCCTTCTCCCCCTTCTTTGTTCCCTCCCACCTCCCTTTGGCCCTGCAGACCCATCCATCCGCCAGCCACCTGACCAGGAGCTCACATGGACTCTTGACACAGTTCCCGCCTGGCTCACAAGGCTCTTTGCGCAGTCCCGTGTAGACAACAGCAGCAGTACCAGAACGAGCGCTAGGGCAGATCACGTTTGGAACGGAGAGGGCTGTAGCGCTGCGGCTCCAGGCGCAGAGCAGAGCCAGCGGGGCCGGCCACAATGAGTCGCTGCATTCCTCAGAGCCACAAGGGGCAGCCTGGAGGACAACAGGCACTGCTGATGGCGTGATACTATGAAATGAATCCTGGTGAATGTATTTGTGCGCTCAGATGTGTCAGTAAGGAAAGAGGGCAATTCACAAACGGCCTTTTTACATTCATGAGGTTGTAGATACAAACTAACTAGATGTGGTCATCATGGTTTGGTTTTAATTGGACCACTGTGTCAGGTATGAGGCTGTGTTCCTACCAGCCCAACAACATTCTGCAAACAGAATAATGAAGGCAAAAAATGCCTCTCTGCAAGCCAGGCTATAGGTTTGGGACATATTTAGGGACATATTTTGGGAATTTTGTCCTGTTAAAAAACATTCCTACTATTAAAAAAAGGAGTTGGAGTTGAACAGATAGCTGTTCCATCTGTTTGTATTAAGATTATCTGACTTAGAAACATCCTTGAATTGTCCACACAGTTCTTTTTGTGAAGATTTCTTCTCAAGGACTCTAAGTTGTCAGGGAAAGGGCTCTCTTGGTTCTGGTGCTTTTTCTCCTTGAGGAAACACGTGCTGCCATTCTCTTCAGCTTTAAGTTCCTCCTCTAATTCCTCGGCTCACACGTGTCAGCCCTGACTGTAAGGTACTTGTAGCCTTGCGCCTTGTGAGCGGTGGCAGCTCTGGGATCGCACGGGCTGGGGCTTAGCTGCGCGCTCTCATATGACCGGTTTTGACAGAGAGCGAGCGGTGCGGACATCACCTGCAGAGCTCCAGGCCGCACCCTGCTGCCACACGAGCTCCACGCCCACGCTACACCCCCCCACCCCCCCCATCTGAAGTCCAAAATATTCCATTTCCTTGTGTCTCGTCACCACTTCCTTGAGTCTGCTTTGAGTGCGTGAGAGCGGTGGGAAAATTGTCCCCACAGAACTCGTGCACAGGTAAAAACATGTGACACAGGCCCATTAAAAGTGCAGTATAAACAACATGCCCCCGTGGACCTCCCACATCCAATCATCTCTGACTTACCCTCCCATGTCTCCCCGCCCATGTGCACACATATACAGCCTCACACTATACAAACATAGTTCTCATGTCATGTTTGGGGAGGAGATCCCTCCCCCTCCCTCCTGGGTGAGCCCTCCATGTAAACATTTACTACAGTGCATGGGAGGTAAGCCTCAATCCACGTGCAACAGCTGGCTGCATCCCATGTGTCGACTTAGTTTTATGAGTGCGGAGGCTTTTTGGGTAACAGCAGGCAAAGAGGTCTGCAAAATATCAGAACTATCAAATATATTTAGGTGCTGTATGAACAAACATTTCTGTCCAAATTTAGTCAAAGGAAATCAAGAAGTTTGAAAATAGACCAGACGCTGTCGGGTCGACCACAAAAAACAAGTTACACTTTATCTGAGCTGATATTATCTTGCCATTGAATCTAACTGTTGTTTTAACTTCAGTTAACTATCTGTCTGATCGTCTGAAGCTGGTGTCATGTTCCTGCCCTCTGATGCATTTACTGTAAGATTAAGGAGAAGGGACACTCGTCACTCAATGTCTGGCATAAAATCCTTCAAAGGACAGTGTTAAATACCTTTCTCACTATAAACCCTATCAGTCAGACAGCTTTTGGGCTTTTAGGTCACGAGGCCACTTAGGGTTGCCATAGTAGCGGCCATGTTACATTCAAACTACTCACTTCTTTTTTCAGGGACTGAACTAAACTTGGAATTAGTCATTTATCCACTACACCCACATTCCTTGAGGCTATTATTGATTTTAACCTTCAGCTAGTAAAGTTCAAAAGAGAGTCTATGACTGGCTGCTTATCACTCACTGGAGCATTCACAGCCAACTCTAATTTGATGCCCACATACATTTTTTTTTAAAGAAATCCATTTCCCTACTGACATTCACAGAATGCACACAAACGGCTGAAGTAAAGAAGTAGCCTGCTCTAAGTCCAGCTCAATGAAATATGTCACATGTTGAGAAAAAGAAGAATCTATAACTACTACTACTGTGTGTGGTGATATTGCAGTGTTGAGAAGGCAGTGGACAGAGCCCACACTCCAAAGCACAACAGCCGTTTGGCACTTCACTGGAACGTGGAACCACTCTCTGTGTGAAAACCTAAACACGTGCAAAACCACGTGATGATCGACCAAAACCGATAATGACCATTCAGTCATTTGATCGTTGCTTTCCATCCTGTTTCTGTTATCAGACATGAGGCAGTGACTGTGTTCCGTGTTGTTTTTGTGTCACTCTCCCAGTGAAACAGGAACAGTGGCGCATCACTGGTGCGGGGGTTACTCATCACAGCCCAAAACCAGGTCGACTTCTGCCAAAAGTCTGTTAATAAGCCCTTTCTGGCGCTCCCCCGGTGTGGAAAGCTCATGTGAACCCGGACTGGTTGCTTATAATTCCATACCAGATACAGCCACAAAAAAAATAAAAATAAACTAAACTAAAGGCTGAGAGAACGTCTAAACCCCTCTGACCCAGTGACCAATCTCCCAGCTACAGGGGGAGGAATCCCCTGGTGGACCGAGCGCGATCAGCACGCGCGCGCCCGATGGGGAGCTACAGGGAGGAGCGCTGTTCTTGAAAACATGCGCGGCACGTGGACTTTGGGGTTGGATACACGTGCTGTCAGCTCGCGCTCAGGCGGGGCGGGTGCGTATTGAGAATCAGGCGCATGATTCGCAGCATCACGACTGTTCCTGCTGCCCAGGGTGCGCAGGGCGGGGGCCAGATGAATGCATCCGCTGTTCAAGGACTCTGCCATGTCTGTGCTTAGTTTGAAAAGGATAGTTTTTTAAGCGCTGACGTCACGGTTTAATATTATAGTTTTATCTACACACGATGTTTTCGCAGAAACTGCAGACTACCTAGATGAACAAGGAGTCGGCGTCAATAAATGTTAAGAAAAGTAATCGGGCATCTGTCCGTACACGTGTGGGTCGATCTGTAAGTGCCGGGAAATGTTCCGTCATAGGAATGAGAGCATCTGGCTTTCAGGGAACTGAGAGGGGATTGGCTCGGAAGTGCTCCATCACTTTCGGGATGAGTAATGCGCGATCCGTCCATTCATCACCGTCTCTACATTTAGATCGGTATTCGAGCCCTGCCGGGGCACAGTTTATTACGTCAACAACTGCCCCCCGGCAGGGGGGGGGGGGGGGGGGTGTATTTTGTCATGACCCAGTGCCCGCAATTGTTCCCAGATAACCCTCTCACGTGCGACTGGAGGGAGGGAAACAAAGGGGGGGGGGGGGGGGGCTTTTAAAAAAAAAGCCAAATATCTGCCACAGGCCTTGTTAAGGTAACTGTTTGTTTTCAAACTGCCCTTAAATGCGTCACGTGAGAGTTACCAGGAAGCTCTGCAGTTTAAAAAACGCACCACCAGAGTCCCTTTTTATTTGATTCATTGTTATTTCTTGAAATTACTGTAGACCTAATGAGAGCAGGGCTTCCAACCACACGGTAAGGAAAGTAATTGCCCTCGGTCAGAGGTCATTTAGGGTCGCGCTTCACGTGAGTTTGTTTACTTGCAGAAAATCGGAAGTCCGCCATAAAGATCTAAGAGAGGACTTCCCCTCCCTATGTACAGCTAAGTCACTCTAACCCCTCCCTACCTGCCACCCAGAAACACTTGGCAACGCGCCATGAGTCGCGGAGCCCAATAACAACGTTTTAGAATAAAAACACATTTTTAAAAAAGCCAAGAAACGGCTAACTGCAGCAAAGCACTTTTTGTGCGGGACTCGGAGCTCTGACTCACGGGCTGACCCTGAATACATCTCTCTGAACGCCTCCTATCGGTGCGTATTCAGTTTAAATGCAATGGGCAAAAGAACACAGCAAGAACAAAAATAAAGACTTTGAAACACACTAAATGTATCGAAGGGTACGGGTGGAATATAGGAAGTCTCACCAACCAAATTCTCCAGAATTCTATTTTATGTCGCCGTTTTTAGTGCTTGGCATCACATACTTCAAATACACCGAAATACACATTATGCTCTGATGAAAAATATCCGACAACGGCTCTGAAACCTCCGTTAAGCTAAAGCGTTATGCTTAAAATATAAGGCTTACTCACCACCGGGACTGTTTTCCATGTTTGCTCGTCGACGTTCTGTTCGGATACGGGCGGTTAGAGGTGTTTGACACCCGGAGGGTTCGCTGACACCGGCGAAAGAGTCCTGGACCGCGAATGGAAGCAAATCGTATCCCAAAGCTCGGAGCAGGAGCGGTGCACGCGGGGCATCGGTTGGGGAAAAAACCCGCTCAACCAAGAATAAAACAGAGAAGAAGAAGATAGAAAACTGTTTGTTTGTTTTTAAAAAGGGCTATCAGATGATGGGGTCTGTGTTGGGTTCCGGGTGGTTCTCCGTCTGTCTACAGGTTACACCTTGTGGTGCCAGGCTGTGGGAAGGTGTCACTGTGTGAGGAGTACTCTGAATTACAAAGGTCCCCGAGCGTTCAGCAGATTTGCCATGAACACATCACCAGAGTGGAAGTAGTTTAAACACTCCCCGCTCATCAATAAGCCGCACGCGCCCTCAGCTAAGCAGCACGTTTTCAGGTGCCTGAGAAATGTGACCACTTTCCCCCCCCTGCTCTCTTTCTGTGTCCCTGCGAATGCTTGTTTGTTGATGTGTATCAGGGAGGCTCTCTCTCTCTCTCTTTCTGTCACGCTCTCTGAAAACATCTCACCCCCTCCACCACTCGTGTGTCCCCCCCCCCCCCCCCCCCCCCCCTTTTTCCTCTTTCCCCCTTTTTCATTGGCCGAGAGCCGCGCGTGGAGATGGTACATTGGGCTGGTTCGACATCGGAATGCCGGTTAAACGCTCTCCAGCATGTGCGCATGGCATGTGAGCTCGCGCTGCCCTACTGACACACATTTTATGCTAATGAGCTCCCGGGGCCTGGTGATAAGCGGGAGAAGGGAGGAAGAGGCGGTAAGAGGCCGCGAGAGGTGCCACTCCGACAGCTTTTTATGGGACTGGACAAATACTAAGCATACACCAGGCAGGTTTTTCGAAGCTTTGACGAAAAAAAAAAAAAAACACAAGTGAGAAAAACACATATAGTTGAACACTTGGATTTTTAATGTCCTTGGCTTGTTGGTAAAATGATTGAGGACTGTGAAAGGGGGCCTCTAGGATCGTCCAGCTATAAGACTGAGATGTAGATAGATGGCACGGCATGCATGCGGTAACCACAGGAACCTTGTGCCAAGTAGGGGTTGGAAGTCCCGGAGTCATACAGGGAGATACCTCCAAAGATGTAAGGAAATGACACAGCTAAGACCAGGTGGGGCTTCTAGATCCAGACTGATATGAAGGTAGTGGCAATGACCTGACCAGGCCTTGTGCTGGTGGACATGGTACAGGTTAGTACAGCGGGGATAGGTGTGGCAACTCCAAGTGATGACAAGGTTAGGAAAAAAGAACAAAATAAGCTATAATCGATATCAAGGGCTTGAAAGATGAGGTTGAAATGATGTGGGTTGTGAGGGCAGGACACTAACCCCCGGTGGCCCACAATCCGTGCCAAGAAGAGCACCGTTCTTGGAAGAGCTAAGGTACTGCGTGGAACCCAGGTTGTATTTAGAATGAACTATCTGGACGGCTGAATTACTGCCACTGAAATGGAGCCAATAATGCTGTACGGTTGTCGAGACTTAAAACAACAACTAACTGAAAATTAAAGGTTTTAGACTGGGCTCCTCATACATCACTGATTTTTATCAGTGTTAAAACGTGGACTTTATTCTTAAGGAATATAGATTACAAAGCAGGGTTGTGATTCAGACGGAAACACTGTGAGTTACATTCTTCAGAAAGCAACTAGGAAACATTGTGGCCTTGTTTTTAATTGCAGTGCGATCCTTTCAAAGACACCATGTCCCCACCTGGAATGTGGCACATTACTTTTAGCAACCACACAGAGGAGCCTTTTATACTGAGCAGGAATTTAATGAGAGCATAAGTACACGTTGGTAAGCCATCACAAAACTATAGAAGAGAAATGGCTCACTCCCTATTGTGTTTACAGATTCCATTTTTGGATATATAACTCTATATTATAACATGTGAGGTCTGTGTGAACATAGATAGATAGATAGATAGATAGATAGATAGATAGATAGATAGATAGATAGATAGATAGATAGATAGATAGATAGATAGATAGAT